CATTTACCTCATTGGCGTTATTTTGATCATCCTCATCAAAAGGATTACCACGGAGGAATGCGACGACCACGCACAATCCTTGGCTCGCTTTCAGCTGCGATGCCAAATGAAGCAATCGCTTGTGACGGTTTATTATTTATTATTTGTAATTTGTTTATTATTATTATTATTATTCATTATTATTTGTTATTTATTACTTATTATTTGTAATTTGTTATTTATTATTTATTATTATTATTATTATTATTAACCTCAATTTATATTATAATATTTATTATTACTTATTATTAATGATATTATAATACTTATTATTATTATTACTATTATTATTAATCTGTTCCAATAATTGCGCATATTTATTTTTGTTGTAAAATAATCGATTACAGCGAGAAATATTTTTATTTCTAGGCGTAAAATAATTTTTCATGCGAATTTCAATGAAATCTCAGAAAATGGATTTATATGGTATTGGTGATTTTTTGCCTTTAACAAATTTATTAGTAACACAGAAAGCAGACGAATTATTACAACATGATAATTATAATAATTATCATTATCATCATCATCACTATCATTGCCCTCAACGACAATATCATAAGCAACAACAACAACAACAACAACAACAACAACAGCAGGAGAAACAACAGGAAAAGCAATATCATCAATATGATAATAATGAACAATCGAAACCTCAACTATCTTATATTGGCCTTATCGCAATGGCAATTTTAAGTTCTAAAGAGCAAAAAATGATACTTTCGGAAGTTTATCAATGGATTATCAATAATTATCCATATTTTCGAACACGTGGTATTGGTTGGCGAAATTCAATCAGGCATAATTTAAGCTTAAATGATTGTTTCATTAAAGCTGGCCGTTCAACAAATGGAAAGGTAAAACAAAGAAGAAGAAATATAGTAAATTAAACAACAATTTTATTGATTATTTTATTTACAACAAAAAGATTTATTTACTCTTTAAATTTTTCGATTAAAACAATTGTGCTAATTAATCAAAAATAATAAAATATAAGATAAATTAAACAAATATATATGAAATGATTAATTTATAATAATTCTAAATTTTTAAATTTAAAATTTTTTAAATGACTTTTTTTTATTTAAAGGGACATTATTGGGCAATTCATCCGGCAAATTTGGATGATTTCAAAAGGGGTGACTTTCGAAGACGTCGTGCTCAACGGAAGGTTTATAATAAATTATTTTTACTATTTTCTTATTTCATTTAAATTGAATTAAAATTTTAAATGCTACTACTATCATTATTATTATTATTATTATTATTATTATTATTATTA